CCCCACTGCTAAAAAAAACCTACATTAAACAGTTCACTTGTAGATAGCTACATACCTGTATCTCCTTCCCAACTGGACGCTAACCAGTCAGGTTTCAGAAGTGGTCATTCAACTGAGACTGCATTACTGTCAGTCACTGAAGGCTTGCAGATTGTGAAAGCTGATTCCAAATCATCAGTTCTCATTCTGCTGGATCTATCTGCTGTTTTTACACTGGGCATCACAGGGATTCCACTTTGCTGCATTGAATCCTATCTCACAGGTAGATCTTTCAGGGTGGCCTGGGGATGGGAGGTTTCCAAAGCACATCAAATGCTCACTGGGGAACCTCAGGGATCAGTTCTTGTACCCCTCCTCTTCTCCATATACACTACATCACTGGGACCCATCATACAGGCACATGGTTTCTCCTACAATTGCTAAGCTGATGACACACAGCTCTATCTTTCATGTCAACCAAATGATCCCACGGTAACTGCATGGATCTCAGGCTGCCTGGTGGACATCTCGTCATGGATGAAAGAACATCACCTACAGCTCAACCTGACAAAGACTGAGCTCCTTGTCTTTCCTGCAACTCTACAGCATGATTTCACCATCCAGCTAGGTCCATAAACAATTACCCCATCAAGTTTAGTCAGAAATGTTGGTGTAATCTTTGATGACCAGCTGATTTTCAAAGACCACATTGCAAAAACCTCTCGATCTTGCAGGTTTGCATTTCACAATATCAGAAAGATCAGTCACTTTGTAATGGAGCATGCTGCACAACTTCTTGTCCAGGCCCTTGTCATTTCTAGACTGGACTACTGCAATGCTCTTCTGGATGGACTTCTATCATGTGCAATCAAACCTCTATAAATTATTCAGAATGCAGCAGCACAACTGGTCTTCAACAAGCCCAAAAGGACCCACGTCACACCTCTCTTTATCTCCCTGCACTGGCTATCGGTTGTGGCTCACATCAAGTTCAAGACATTGATGCTTGCATATAGAACAGCCACAGGCTCAGATCTCTCCTAATTCCACTCACTCTTACGAAGCCTGAGATTTACAGGTGAGCAACGCCTCCATCACAGAGAGGCACAAAATCACTTTTCAGAACATTTTCATTCACCGTTCTTGGCTGGTGTAATGATCTTCCCACCCCCATCCGGAATGCTGAATCCCTGACTCTTTTCAAGTGACAGCTGAAAATTCATCTCTTTCATCAACATTTGGCTGCATCCTAAAAAGAAAAAAATGTCATCTGTCATCTTTGAGCATTCCTGTTTTCCATTTGGTGTCCTGGAGTTTGCATTCTTTTGGGCTCTGTGACTTCCGAGAGGCTGTTCAATGCAGGTTGCTTGGTGTAGCCACTCCATGAGGGACTACTCTGGTTATATTGTTTTTACTCGACTGTTCATTCTATCAGAAAGACTCAGAGAGAAGTTAAACCTTTAAATGGTATTTATTCCGTAAAATGCTACAGATGGTGGTGAGTAAAATTGTTCATGTATAGTTGTATAAAAGTTCTTTGGCGATAGCCCCATCCCTTGTCCAAATCCTGGGGGTGCAGATTTGGCTGATCCTGCCTGAATATGAAGGCAGGGGCGGAGCCTACCCCCATGTATGGACAGGGCAAACCTGGTGGTGGTGGTGGGGAGGATGGAGGGGAAAGTCAGCGTCATCAACTGCGAAAAATGAAACCGAGAGTTCAGTGCTTATATACTCCAGTTGTCAAGCAGTGATTGGCCAGACCTGTTAGTATGAATGAATGACGTGGCATTGGAGTCTTCCTGATAGAACTTGCGCTGAAGCTTTTACTTCTATCAGAAAGATTCAAAGAGAAGGCAAACCAACAACATGTTTATTATATCCTGTACCCACTAAATTACTGAAAGAGTTGTTACCTGTAGCAGAATATCACTGCATCTAAACCAACAACATGCCTGTTAGATCCTGTACCCACTAAATTACTGAAAGAGTTGTTACCTGTAGCAGAAGAACCGCTTATCAATATTAATAACTCGTCGTTATTTCTAGGTCATGTCCCAAAACCATTCAAGCTGGCAGTTATTAAGCCTCTTATTAAGAAACCACAACTAGATCCTAGTGAACTGTCAAATTACAGACCCATTTCAAATCTTTCGTTTATATCTAAAATTTTAGAAAAAGTTGTGTCTGCTCAATTGTGTTCCTCCTGCAAAAAATTATATATATGAAGGATTTCAGTCGGGTTTCAGGCCCCATCATTGCACAGAAACTGCACTTTTTAATATTACAAATGACTGGCTTTGCTAGATGAAACTTCTAAATTATCTAAGCTAACAGAGTGTGTTAAAAGTGTAAAAGACTGGATGACCAATAATTTTCTCCTATTAATTTAGGATAAGACCGAGATATTACCTATTGGACCAAAAAGCAGTACACAGAATCTAGTAGATTACAATTTGCATCTAGACGGATGTACTGTTACTTCCTCTACAGTCAAAAATTTGGGTGTTATATTAGACAGCAACTTGTCTTTTGAAAATCATATTTCCCATGTTACAAAAACAGCATTCTTCCATCTTAGAAACATTGCCAAGTTACGGAACATGCTACCTGTTTCTGATGCAGAAAAGCTAGTTCATGCATTCATGACCTCTAGACTGGACTATTGTAATGCACTGCTAGGTGGTTGTCCTGCATCTTTTATAAACAAGCTACAGGTAGTCCAAAATGCAGCTGCTAGAGTCCTTACCAGGTCAAGAAAATTTGATCATATTACCCCAATTTTACAATCTCTGCACTGGATACCTATTAAGTTCCGTATCAATTACAAAATATTACTACTTACTTTTAAGGCCCTAAATGGTTTAGTTCCTTTACGTGAGCGTTCAGGCAAAAATGTAATTTGGTGATTGAGATGTGAGTATTGATGCGACAGCTCGATGAGCATCCGGACTGATAGCGGACATGAACTTAAAAGCCCCGCTAGTGTTTCACATTTTCCATTGTGAAATAGTAACACTTTAACATCATAGTAGGATGATCAAAAAACCGCAAACACTTACTGTTATATTAGTTCGTTGCACAATATTAACAGCATGCATCGTGAGAAGTAATGTCATTTACACAATTGTTCACAGAAGGTTACATTTAAATTATGTCAGAAATTTTATGAAAAGTCGGGCTAAAGTTTTCAAGCGACAGTTTCGCTGACAGAGTAGGGAACGTCCGCGTCATCAACTGCGAAAAATGAAACAGAGTTCAGTGCTTATATACTCCAGCTGTCAAGCAGTGATTGGCCAGACCTGTTAGTATGATTGAATGATGTGGCATTGGAGTCTTCCTGACAGAACTTGCGCTGAAGCTTTCACTTTTGTTCAGACTGTTGGGTTGGGCATACGTTTCTTTTCATTCAAAACTATATATTTTACTATACATTTTATATATGTATATTGTGTATGTTGTATAGTGTTTGTCCTGTTTTTGTTTTCTTTGCTTTTTGTAAAGCACTTTCAGCTCAGGAAAAGTTATATATATAAGTTAAACTTATTATAACCCAAATATGAGAGAGGAAACTCACTAAATAGTTTGTATGTCCTATTTAACAAATCTAGACAGGTTAGCTATATCTGTATGTTCATTAGAAACTTTCCTTGTTCTCCACATTGCTATATATTGAATCCTTCTCCTCAAGACTAGCATGGCTTCCTCACAGATCTGCATTCAGAGCAATTGTGCATCTGCCTGAGCCCACCGCGATGGATGTGCCACCTCCTCGGCTCTCTGTCTGTGCTGTGGGCTCCACCTCCATCACCGCCGTCGCCTCCAGTCGTCTCCATGGTGGCGTGTGTTCCTGTCACGCCTTGGCTCCTCCCTCCGTTGACGCCACCGTGGAGCACTGTCCTGGCTGTGGCCTGGGGTCCCACCGTTACACCCCTGCTCAAGGCTCCTCCCTGGCTCTTACCTCCATCATTTCCATCCTGGACTCAGTTTGTCGTCCTCCTACCAGTCGTCCGTCCTCCTGAAGTTCCACCAGTTTTCTCCGCTGGCTGCCTGCCTTTCGTCATCCCTTTTCGCCATGCTCCGCCATCTTCTGACCCTTCCTTCTCTGCGCCGCTTGGTCGCGACTTCCGGGATGGGGGCAATCTGTCACACCATCACACTGTTTGGACTTTGTTTTCTGTTTTCACTATTTTCACTGAGTTAGTTGTCATGGTTTCTGATTTGACTTCTTTATGTTCAGTTGTGTCTTGTAAATTATCCTCGTTTGGTCTGTGAATTTAAGTTCCTGTCTGTTCAGTTTGAGTTTGTCTTGTCTTGTCGATGATACGTGTGTTAAAAGCCTACCCTCTGACTGGATTTACCTTTGAAATTATTAAAGACTGATTATCTTCATCAACATCTTTATGTGTGTTTATCTACACAGTAACCATGACGATGAGAATAATGCCATATTTACTGCAACTCAGGGATCCACACCTGAGAGCGAGCTCAGTAGAGAAGTGACCAGTTGTTTTGTGACTACATAAATTACTCAGTACATCACATAACTGTTTTACTACATGTTGGAAGAAGTACTGCAAAATCAGTTTTTAAATGTGTCCAGAATATTCTTGGTGGAGTTCATGTATTAAGGGAACTTTAAGTGTTTGTGCTTTACATGGTGTCACCAGCTGCTTATTGATGTCATGCATATTTGACAATATTCCACAAAGTCTTGTCCATTGAGTGTATTTGTGGGCTTTTACTTATTTCACTGGATATTCGTTTTCTTTTCAGGCTGAAAAATAGCTGAAAACATAAAATGTTTAAATATTTAATTAAAGCAAACATATAAGGGACATTTAGAAGTGGAGAATGTTGTCTGGAGATCAGAATATCTAATACCCATATTATTCTAATAGCAACCCTAGAAATCAGCTAGCAACACCCTAACGTTGAGTTCGGCATTGGCAAACCTCACTCACATGTAATTATTAAAATAATACAATGTAGTTTTATTTATGCAATCTTTTTTTTTTCTCCAGTTGCGTAATGCCATGGTGAACAGGCAGACGGGAAGCTTCTCTATGAAAGTGAAGAAGACTGTGGATAAAGGGGCAAGAAACTTAATCTACACACACACACAAACAAACAAACACAAGTAATAGGTTTATCAATAGGTTTATCATTCTCTCATGGTGGTTGTGTGTTTGTTTATGACTGTCTCAGAAGCGTGTGCTTGTTCTACACAATGACTACTACTACACAGACATTAAAGGAACTCCCTTCAGGTAAGGTTTTTCTTTATATATTTATAGAGCAATGTAGAACAACAGGAAAACTGAGACGGAGACAGAAGGCTGGACTCAAACCCACTGCACTACCCACTGCACAAACCCGAATAGTGCTATCTACTGCAGCATAGCTCCAAAAAGATTTTAAACATGTATAGCCAAGGTCCAAAATGAACACTAGCACCAGCACCAGCACCAAATGTAAATAAAAATGGACTTTGGCAAGAAAGTAAATTAACAGTTGATCATTTCACTATTTTACACTATTTTAAAAGTAGTGTAATTTCTTTTTTTCCCAACATTGGATTACCATTTGGCAACACATTTAATTTGCAGATACATTACAACCCACCAAAAAAAGATGCAGTTTATGGATTCAGGATCATTTATGGCTGGTAATGTTGTTAATTTGCCCAACATTGGCTGATGTGGTGAAAAAAATTAGAGCTTGGTTATTGTACAAAATCTATAGTATTATGTGAGAAATTAACAGCATTAGGAAGCCAGAATTTATTAATAAATACTATAACAAATAGAATGCAGAATAGATTGTTGATGTAAATTTCTGTACTCAATTAGATGTCTATTATTTATTTCTCGTGTTTTCAGCTTAGGAGTGGCCCTGTCCAGAGGTCATGGCAAATATTTCTTCAGAGGAAATACCTCTGTTGAAGAAGGTAACTATAGACTTAAATAGACTGTGTTCACTACATTTCACTTAATAGATAATTATAAATGCATGTCTGTGTGTGTTGCCTGCAATATAGTGTGATTCCTAAACAGTGACATTTTTCATGATGTGAATATGAGTGAAATCTACTGAGTGTAATGAAGTGGCTGTTTGTAATGATTTTTGTATAATTTCCTTATACTGTGTAACGGTGTGTGCTGTGTAACCGTTGCCCACTGTATCAAGCAGATTAAAACCCTGGCTGCATTAAACTGTTTCATAGGGTAAGAACCTTAACTAAAGTATCCAGTCTATAGGCAACACTAGTCTCGAGTTACCATTCCTGGACCATGGTATCCAGTTCAAGAGGAGCTGGATGCATTACGAATAACCAGAGCGGACAGTGTATCGTCTCCTGAGATGCAAACAAGTCCACCTCTGCCAAATCTACTCCACCACCTCGGGGTGGAACCTCTATTCCCGGTCCATAGCACCTGACTCAATAGGATGTCTGCTCCCTGATTGAGGTGCCCAGGGAGGTAGACTGCCCTCAGGTTGAGCAGTTTTCCCGGAGCCCATGAATGGATCTGGTGTGCCAACCTGCAAATGGCAGACCGCCCTGATGGTTGATGTAAAAGACCACTGATGTGTTGTCTGTGCGGACAAGCACATGATGGCCTCTCAAGTCTAGGAGAAAGTGTTTCAGTGCATGAAACATAGCCAACATCTCCAGGCAATTGATGACAGATAGCCCACAAACATCTGCTCCACCCGAGGCATCAACCCCATAGCCCTGTTCTCTCAGTCCCACAATATTGTAATGATTTGTAACAGTGGAACTGAAGAAAAGGGTTTCCCCCACAATCTTTACTTTTCATATATATGCTTGATTGCTTTATTTAAGGAAAGGATTGTTGTAGACTACACAATAATGTTTGATTATTTAAGATAATATATACATCTTTCACTTATCTTTGTGGGATGTAGAATATCAGAGGAACATTGAGTGTATAAGCAAGCAAGCTAATTAGCTGCAAATACAGCAGCTGCCAATTAGCTTGCGCTATAACATGATTGCTAGATGATTACATGTCAAAGTCCTAGTACTTAACATTTAATAGACTAATAATCAAATGCAGAGAGACCTCTCATTTCAGAAGACCAAGCTTAGGCTTATGGCTGTGGTTAGGGGTTTGAACAACATTCTTATCCACCAATCAATTCTTACTGATTTTAAGCCTAGGTTAGGTGTGCAGATCAGATTGTTTGTTAGGAATTAGTATTGATATTCCTCATCACCGGATGTCGCTATTTAAGGATCATATTCTACTGGGCTATGTCATGTCATACAGTATGAATCTGAAGCAGCATTAAGCAATAGCATGACACAGATGTTTCTTCTCTTTCAGGACTACATGATTTGGAGCATCCAGATGTTTTATTAGCGAATGAATGGTACAGTAGTATCTTAAAATGTTTTATTCAGTGTCTTTAAAGTAGCTTTTTGAGGAGTCTACAGAATGTGTTTGATGTTTGCATGTGTGTGACAGATTGGTTTGACTTTTCAGGACATACTGTAACACAGAGGAACATCCAGAACACAATTTCCTAACTCAGATTGATGCCATCAAGCTGTATTTTAATGGGGAACCACATCTGAAGTGTAAGTTGAATGCATATCAACACTAACACTTGTTTTGAAGACTCCGCTTTGTTTTTGTGTTGCCCAAAGATTATGTATTCTTCATTTAAAAAAAATATACTATTGGATGCAGTTTCATGATGGGCAGCAACTCTTTAAAATATATATTATAGAGTTGAAGATATATTAAAATATATCAGAGCATGATGTATGTGTGTGTATGGGGGAGGGAGGGAATTATTTTGTTAGTATCTTGATTGTTTTGGAAGGTGACAAGGATCTGATCCAGGAAGTTCTATTTGATGCTGTGGTCACAGCACCACTGGAAGCATACTGGACCAGTCTCGCTCTCAATAAATCCGAGTAAGAGCAGTACATATTTTCTTAATAAATTTCTATAGTGCATGTTATTCCAAAATGTCATTATAATCTTTCATCACCATGTAATATATTGCCTGGCTTCTGAAGCAACTTTTCTTTTCAAATAAATATTAACCAAGCAGCTACTGTTTTTCAGTAGCCTTTTCTCAGCCTTTTGTAAAATCTTGCCAATAAAGTGTGGAACGCCTTCTTTACAGCATCCAATTAATTCCCCATTTGTAAAATATATAGAGAGGTCAAATGGGTTATGAATACCATTTCATGTTGACTTTAACTATATAATTTTAATTCAAGAATTCTTTCTTGTACACTTCATTATTAATGATGTGTTTCTGTGGTTCTCTTTGTCCTGGTAGGAATTCTGATAAAGGGGTGGAGATAGCTTACCTCTGCACTCGAACCGGACTATCACGCATCAACCTTTTTGTGATGCCAGACCAACTGACCAATCAGTTAGCAATTTATATCTTCCATGACAGAGTTCATATTGCAGTCTAAATGCAGTAGAGCAATAGTACAACAGTAACTAATGTGCAATAAATGTTTTGCAAGAGACTGTAAATGCCAGTGTTGGTGAAGTAACGAATGAAAAGCAACAATATTGCTAACTTGACGACTAAAAATTTTTTCAGTAGTATGAGAGTGCCTCTGCTGCTTTCAAAATAGTGTAGCTTTTTCAGTAAGAAGCTATTTTTTACAACAATGGCCTCCCTTTCATATGTAATGTTGGAAATTCTGACTCATTCTAATGAATCCGTTTAATCCTAAATGGTCCTCTCTTTTATATGTAATGATAGTATAAATTAGAAATATATGAAATTTTATAAATATATATATAAGTTAGTATAAATATAATGTAAAAATAATAAATTGGTGTGTATTTAAATTTTAGCTGTATTTAATGTAAATTGATCAGTCCAATTTGATGTTATTTCCCTTGAAAATGAAATTCATTCAAAAACCATCATTGTTTTTATCCCAGACAACTACAGCTATTATTAAATCATATCATCCGCTGTATTGTAAACTATAGAATCAGCTAGTTATATTTTTAAGATGTTGCTTCCTTGGGTAGCTTCAATGTAGTTAGGTCATTTTTCTTAATAACTGGTAGTACTTCCCTGGAAGTAGGGAAAAATTTGCTGTATAGGTAGCTGGCACTATGGAAACTCTAACCTTGAGTGATCTCTGAAGCTGTTTAACATAGCGCCAATGCAGATGATGTTTGACAATCCACTCCATATTTGAGTATTACCATACTCTCTGACAGTGCATTATCAGTTGTGCGGCAACTATATAGACAGTTTCTCCTTCTCTCTTATGAGGGGAACAAGGTTATGTTTATGTTGAAAGTTTAATCCCTTTCAAGTCACTTTGATGCTGTGTCAAGTCACTTTGATGCCACACTGTGCTACAGCCAACACATGAAACAGTGTGTTCTAGTCATCAGGGTAATTAGAAGCACCAAGGAATTAACCCTGTGCCAAGGCTTATTCTTTGGAAGGCTAACATTCTGCCCTGCAAATTTTAGCTCAGACTCTTAATCAATTACATATGAACCATCCGAAGTCTTCCGGATTACTTGAAAACAACAGACAGCGGCATAGGTGTATGAAACCCTCCAGAAGCAGGGTTAGATAGCTTTGTTCTTGGTGGAATGACCTTTGACACTGTCACAGCGTGTGTGGGAAGAGAGGGCACGACCAGAAGAGATGTAATCTTAAAACACTTTTAATAAACAGAGCGAACAGGGTATCACACAACCATAAAGCGACTAGACTGAACACAAACCAAAGACACACAGGGCTAGAAATACACTGGGTAATCAACTCAAAACCAACACAGGTGTGCAAATTAACTAATTAAAGACAGGAACACAAGGAAATCTAGGTTATAGGACAAAAACAACACTAAAACAGAACTAAGCCGTGACAGATTGCCCCTCCGGAAAGGTGCAATCTCGCACCAATAGAGAGTCCATAAAGGAGGCAGGAGTGGGCAAAGGGATGGCAGAAGAGTAGGGTAGACAGAAAACAGGAGTGGCGAAGGGAAGAGATGGAGAATGGAGCAAACAGTACCAGGGAGGCACCAAAGCAGGAAGGAGCCAGGGAAGAGCTGGGAGTTGCAGAAGGTGGATAAAGGACTTGAGGAGGACGAACCAAGTAGCGGACAACGTCTCGGTTACGTATGGTAACCCTCGTTCGAGGTGAGAACACAGGAGGATACCGGCTCCACACGAAGGCTATAGAATGTAGCGGACGTGCTAGGGGTCGCCCAGCCCGCAGCTCTACAGATATCTGCCACGAGCGAGGCGCCACGAGCCAGCGCCCAGTGCACAGTATCTGTGCAAGAAGGCTCACTGGGGGAAACGCATATTTGCAAAGGCCCCGCGGCCAGCTGTGTGCCAGTGCGTCCGTGCCGAGTGTTCCCTCGGTCAGGGAGAAGAACAACTGGCAGTGAGAGGTTTCTGGAGAGGCAAACAGGTCTACCTGAGCGGCTCCGAAACGTCCCCAAACCAGCTGGACCGTCTGGGGATGGAGTCGCCATTCCCCTGGGAGCGCAGCTTGGGACAGCTCATCGGCTGCCCGGTTGAGCAACCCAGGAATGTGAACAGCATGAAGCGACCTCAGATGCTTCTGACTCCAGAGGAGGAGGTGGCGGGCGAGTTGCGACATGCGACTGGAGCACAGACCACCTTGCCTGTTGATGTACGCAACGGTCGCTGTGTTGTCTGTGAGGACTAGTACATGCTTGCCTTATAAGCGCCCTTTGAGACGGCTCAAGGCAAGGTGCACTGCCAGCAACTCGAGGCAGTTGACGTGCCAGTGCAGTTGGGGCCCCGTCCAAACGTCTCTCTAAGCGAGATCCCAATTCGTCGGTCATCCGACGTGACGTCGAGAGTGACCGACTGAAAGGGAACGAGAGCCCAGCCAGGATGAGGCCCCTCAGTGGAGTTGCTGGAGGGAGGAGCCATGGTGGAGGCCTGGGAGGTGGAACCAGGGATTCGAGCTCCTTCGATGATGCCGGCGATGGAGACCCAAGCAGACACAGAGCCTGGGCGACACAGAGGATCCCGTAGCAGCAGGCTCCTGTGACTGAGGTGAAGAAGTGGTTCTGGAAGACCACGGTGGAGCCGGAGTGACTGAGGATGTGGGTAAAGCCGGAGGGAAGGAGGAAACTGAATGAGCCAGTAAAATGGAAGTGAAGCCAGAGGAGTGGAATCCTGAGGCGGTGGGTGGTCAACGACTGACCAAGGTGGAGCTGGAGGGATGAGTGGAGAGAGTGGGATGATGGGCCACGGTGGAGATGAGGGAGCTAGGAGCCAAGGTGGAGTCGATGGGTCGCAGGACTGAGGTGGAGTCAAGGATCCAGTGGTTGAAGGCAGGGACAGAGGAGTGGAGCTTGTCACCAGAAAACTCGATACAAACTCACATAGGTGATGGCAGGCTGAGGGGATGACAGGTGGCAGCGGAGATAAGACTGAGTGATTTGCAGGCATAGAAGTTGGAGGTAGATGGATGCTTGTCCAAAGACGTTCCAGAGAGATAAGGAAGACTGGCGGAGCATGTAGAGTACAGTCCATGGTGGAGATGACGGGACTTGAGGCTGTTTAGAGCTGAATGGAACCAGCGAAGACGCATATAATTTAGGGCTGGATGGAAGCAGTGGAGACACAGTAGGTTTAGGGCTGGACAGAACCAGCGGAGACACAGAAGGTTTAGGGCTGGACGGAACCAGAGGAGAGACAGGAAACCGGCTGGGAAACAGAAGATTCGGGGCTGGAGATAAACAGTGAAGACAGAAGGCAAGGGCTGGATGAAGCCAGTGAAGAAGACAGACTCCGTGTCTGTGGTGGGCTGAGGCGTACAATGAATGTTGCGCGGGATGACGACTAGAGGTCTGCAGGTTGGGACTGGACGCTGATGTAATCCTCGTCATCTGCTTCGTCAACCGTGAATGCGGATCCTTTCATCCACAGTGTGAAGTTGATGTAGCTCTTTATAGTTAGATCTCCGTGGGGCATGACAAAGGGAATGTCGTTGTCGAGCCCTTAACGAAATCCCTCCATCAAGCAGACTTCATCACAGCGGGCAGGATGGCAGGTGTCCAGGAACTCATCTCCTCTAGGTAAAAACAAATAGTTTATTAACAAAAAGGAAACTTGGGCAGTCTGCTGATCTCCGGCTGTACTTAGTTTGTACAGGCGGAGTGAGACTAAATTCTTGATGTGATTCTAGAGTCAGACCTTAGTTTCAGTAGTCATATCAAAGCAATAACTAAATCAGCATATTATCATCTCATAAACATTTAGGATAAATTTTTTAATATTATTACTTGATTATAAACAACTCAATGGCCTAGGACCTCATGGGTTCACTCAAAACAAGGGGAGTCTACTTTTAGCTATTATGCCACCTACAGTTGCACCTGCAGGAAACAGCTTCCAAAAGGCATCAGATGTGCTAAAAAAGTAGCCACATTTAAATCTAGACTTAAAACGTGTTTAGCTGTGCATTTACTGAATGAGCACTGAACTGCACAGCAACAACAGTTTGCCCATTAGGAAAGAGAAAAAACTTCTGTAAAAAAGTTACAGAATTCAAAGTGGAACCCTATGAATGAAAGAGGAAAGTTAGTTTAATCATGACAACTCTCGGAAGATTTTAGCATGGTGATGGATATGACAATGTTGATGTATTTGGTCTTGGCAGAATAGATCTGCTACACTGCTGCTGAATTGCTGCTGCTGTTGGTTATTGCTGTAGTTGTAGATTATTGCTGCTGCTGCAAGCAAGTACAGGAACTTGCTACTGCCAATGCATACAGCGATACGGTGCCATGAGTATTTAATACATACTGCTGCTGCACAAATAGCATATAAAATAACCCGTAGCAGATCTATACAGGTGGAGCTGGGGAAGGTGGAGGGTTTCAGAGAAACTCTGAAAGTGCGCTGCAGGAATCTCTAGTGAATGCTAGCCAGCCATATAAATGTAAGGCAGTAAGCTCATTGGCTGCATATGCAGCATGAACCAATCAGCTTGTGCCAAGTCGTTTAACTCTCTGAATATCAGTTACGTTAACGACCCATCAGCCTGCACCATCTAGAGTTCATGACTAAACTATATATTTTAATTAAGCAAGTACAGGAACTCGCTACTGCCAATGCATATGGCGATACGGTGTCATGAGTATTTAAGAAATACTGACATACTGCTGCTGCACAAATAGCATATAAAATAACCCCCCCAACAAAGCTGGAAGAAGAAAACAAAACAATTAAATATGTATGCTGCTGCTATACAATAATATGCTTAAAATCATCCCTATAGGCAGAAGAAATATAAAAGGTAAAACCCCCCAGAACAAGCAGATCTATTGCCAAGACATATGTACTGCTGCTGCTCCGGAGAGCCGTGAGACCGTGTGTTTGCTATCTATGTGAGCCTGG